TTTTTAATGATATAAGTAACTTTTAGTTAACAATAACAACACTGCAAAGAGAAGATCTCCAAACAAGTTTATGCTTAAATGAAAGCTAACTAAGAACTTCGGCATCTCCTGAGTTATGAAAGAGCAACAATGAGTGATAAAATTGTTGTTTTTCGTTACTTTTAACCATTGCTTCCTCAACTATGCGCTGTTGCTTTTGCTATACTAACTCATCAGGAAGTGAATAAATATGAGATTTAAAGTGGCTTAAAGAAAAGGATGCTTACAAAGTACCAATTAAACCATGATGAAATGCCTTGGTCAATGTAAATACTTAATTTATCTCCTTTTGCACCACTGTACAGCCCTCACCCGGTGAAGCCCTTGACCAACACATCTCTGCATGGAGAGAAGAAACCTGAAAGCCGCTCCGTGCTGGAGAAACTCAAGTTCACCATCAGCCCAGGACGATCAGCACCACCAAACACTGCTGAGGATGAGAAAAACCAGGTACTGGAAGTTTAAAGCTGCTGTAAGCGATGTTTAATCTAATAGCACTTCCTTCTAAAATATAGAATTTTATTCATATTCAACTTTTTAACAAATCTTTTTTTTTCACACACAGTAAAACTGGTCTTTATGCATGCAAGTAAATGATACCCTTCCTAACATGTAAAGACAGACATCAAATGTAATGGTCCGTGGCATACAGAATTTGAAAAAACCCTGGTTTAGACCATCAGAAAACTTTTTTCGCTTGTCAGTCATTTTGAACATTGGTCTAAATTAGGCTGGTTAGTGAAATGGCTAACATTTCATAGAACTTTAAAGTAGCTGGAAGACACGCTTTGGCCCAGGTTCTGGAAAAATTTAATCAGCAAACAGATTACAAGCAGACACTGAAACAAGCATATTGATCTGAGAGGTTATTTAGAGTCTCATTAAAATGAATATGGACTTGTGCTGATTGCACTATAAAGATATTGAAAGAGCGCACAAGTGATCAAAGATCAGCTGAAGCATTTAATAAAGTAGTTTTGGTTCATCATGCTCTACATGACATACAGTAAGTACCTCAGTACTGTTTTTCTCTTGTAAACATGACTGTACCTGTTTCCTGTGCAGCTGGCTCTGATGGAGGCTCGGACTCAGTACCAGAACCTGACCAACATGGAGCTGATAGCTCTGCTGCTTCAGCAGGAAATGGACGTCAAGAAGCAGCAGGCTGAAACTGAGGTGCTGGTGGCATTATTGGAGAAACGTGAGGCCGAACTGAAGAAGATGAAGATTCAGGTCAGAGACCTGGAGGACTACATTGACAAGCTGCTGGTGCGCATCATGGAACAGACGCCGACCTTGCTGCAGGTACGCGGCAGGCCAAAATGACTACAGTGACCTGCTCCATCCCAAGAACACCTCATATTGATCGAAAGCCATTTGTGATGCTCCATTAAATTTCAAAACTGCCAGATTCACATAGACACGATAAAGCTTTGCATGCTTACTGGATTTCCAAATCCACATCCATTGACGTTTAGCTTACTACTAGTCATGCTATGAGCACAAGGCAGTGGTTAAAAGTAAAAGAAAAAAAAAAAAAGGATGTACAATTAGATTTTGTTGATTTCATGTAGATGTAAATATTCATAGAATCTACACAAATATGTCTTCCTATTCATAAATACACTAATTTTGGTAATAGGAAATAAGAAGATCTGGGATCTTGATGCATCAGTGTACCAAAATGTCAAGCAAAATGTCTCTAAATTTATGAAGATCCACAAATACAAGTAAAAAAGCACTGCCTTTATTAATTGACTTCTTTAAATGTCACTTTAACACTCTTCTTTCCTCATAATTGGAAGTATTTAGAACAAAATCATAAAATTATACTAAAAAAACCCTGAAACTTCTCAAATAATGTGTCAACCTTCCATATCTCAGTCCTGTCCATATCTCAAGAAAATATTGTTTCAGCTTGACTTTGTATTCACATGTTATTAAAACACTGTTCGATATGAATCCAGAGATTTAGAAACATTAGTAATGTTTAATACATAATATATGTAGCCTAATACACCTTGTCAAAGTTGATGTAAAATATTGCTTTCAATAATAATATGTAAATGTAAATAAATATCTTACTACTTGATAGCTTTAAAAGCACCTTAATGTACATTATTCAAAACTGTTGAGCCAGTCAGCTTTGCCAAATAGAAACTGCTGATATCAGTGCATGCTCACTTCCATCAAGCACTCGCACAAAATATGCCTCTGCAAACGTGTAAGCTATGCAAAACAACCTGCTACGCTGTAGCTTAAGTATATGCTACACAAAATCATAAAATTATACTAAAAAACCCCTGAAACTTCTCAAATAATGTGTCAACCTTCCATATCTCAGTCCTGTCCATATCTCAAGAAAATATTGTTTCAGCTTGACTTTGTGTTCACATGTTATTAAAACACTGTTCGATATGAATCCAGAGATTTAGAAACATTAGTAATGTTTAATACATAATATATGTAGCCTAATACACCTTGTCAAAGTTGATGTAAAATATTGCTTTCAATAATAATATGTAAATGTAAATAAATATCTTACTACTTGATAGCTTTAAAAGCACCTTAATGCACATTATTCAAAACCGTTGAGCCAGTCAGCTTTGCCACATAGAAACTGCTGATATCAGTGCATGCTCACTTCCATCAAGCACTCGCACAAAATATGCCTCTGCAAACGTGTAAGCTATGCAAAACAACCTGCTACGCTGTAGCTTAAGTATATGCTACACAAAATATATTAATAAAGCCTTAGCACTGCAGCATACTTGGATCATTGCTAAAGTAGCAAATTTAGTGATATGCAAATGCCTATGCTTTCTAAACCACAAAAGCGATGCTTTTTTGAAGTTAAACAAAGATCTTTTGTTTGTGTTTTCCTGCATTGTAACTTCATTGTGTTAGAGTGGCTTTATGATTTTCTCTTATATTCATTCTGATTGTGTCTTATACCATTGTTTTTGTTCTGTTTTTCTTTAAAGTTACAATACATGTGATTTTTTTTTTTTTATTCATTTATATTCAGTGGTTTGTTTGGTTGATGTTTCATTTATTCTGCTGATGAAAATGATGTGAGATTCTGTCACACAAGAACATCAGTTCTATGTCTCAGTATTGGACGTAAAGAAAATACAGGGTTCCTGTTAATTTTGTTGACTCGGTGCATCAAAATTATTTGTATTTCACCAACTATACATCCTAAATAAAATTCAACTTTTTTTAGTTCGAGTTACGCTCGCTCTGTGTTTCCCCATGTGTTGCAGGAAAGAACCATGTATCAATGTGATTGTTGTTGATTCGTTTTGCCTTTTGATCACCATTTTGCAATGTGCCTCTGTGGATTTATTTACAACATACATTCACATTTGTATTTTCTTATTTTGTTTTATTTATTGCAAATTATTTCATACAGCTTCATTTTCAAAGTTATTTGAAAATAAAGTTATAAAATCATTTGTCGTGTTTTTGTTTGAATTCTTTACATAATTGACCTGTATAGGTTTATGAGATTTACAGCTGAACAGTATGGTGGTTCAACAGTCACAGTAGTGCTATAATTAATTGCCGCTGGGTGGCACTGCCGCGCTTTTTAAGATTATTAATTGTACTTTGTGCTTAGCCCAGTTTGTAAACGTTAGACAAAATTTTAATAGTAGCAAAATTTTATATATTGCATAAAAACAGTCTATAGGTAAAAAGTACATTAGGAATTGTACATATATAAAAGTTTACACTTAACTGATTCATAACAGCAGCAAAATGCGCAGATGGGATTCATGAAATATTAATGTTGTGGGAATCAAAGCTCAAACTGACAGTCTCTCTGCTTGCATTTTTTGGGCTCAGTGTCAAATGGCAATGACTTTTTTAACATTAAAATGCCACAGTAATGCAAATTTGATCTTTAACAATTACTATGAAGATAGAGGAAACTCATTTTCATTCTTGGTTAATTATCTGTGGTGGAACAAAGAATATTCCCTAAATGTAGTTATGTCCTGACTATAGGCTTGATTGGCACAGTGTTAAAAGGCTATACTGTTTTAAGAGAGAAACAAGAGAAAATATGTTTATTTTAAACCAAACTAACATCACTCAACAACATTTATTTGTCTGATAAGGTTATTTTTATGATTCATATATGATACAATTAATTGTGAATTATAAATCAATCACATCTCCTAAATGCGATTATTCAAGATTGACTATTTATTTAATTATTCAAGATATAGTATTTTGTAAGTGGCAGGGAGATGTTTTCTGCACCTTCAGTGACCTTTTCTATTACATAATCCTCATATTTAGGACTGGGGGTGGAACATTTAATATCTGAATATTGGTCTAAACACCCCCACAATATCTGTGGTTATGGTTCGGATAGCCTATATATGCACATGCATGACACGTGGAGTTAATTCATCAGATCTGAACGATTAATTAATATTTGTTTATTACTTGCAGTGTACCATCCAATCACACACTTATCCTAAATGCTGTCTGCTAGGTGGCATAATTTATCATCCAAATCATCTCATGAATGGTTAAAATTATTTAAGAGATATTATTATAATTTATGATTGGTCTGAACCATTCAAGATTTGTATTGTTTTAACAAAAATATATTTTAGAATCATTCATTTAATTGTTTATGGATATGTATTTTTATGGTTACAATGTATATTTGGTGCAAACCATGGTAATTTTTTAGATGCAAATTATTTTGCTCAACTTCAAAGTTGTCCGAAGTCAGCAGAGTTTTAAAAATACTGTGGAAAAAAATATTTTGTGATGTAAATCTTTCAGACTTTTGTAATTGTGATGGGTGTGGAATGTGCTCTGCGATCTGTTTTGTCTCGAGTTCAACAGGAAACTACACTTCCCATGAACCCCTGCGAGCTATTGCTTCACTAGTTTCGTACTCGAGTTGACTATTCTTACAAATTCCGTCTCATGGACCTTTTTATTATTTAAAATCACTCACCGCTGCGGAGATGGCGGAATCTGCGTCTTGTCCGGTGTTTCAGCTGGGAAAACCGCGTTACGAGCAGGTAAAGAGTTTTCCGCGATGTTAAAGTGCATTTTTGTCTGGGCATCTTTGATGGATGGGCGTTGATAAACAACATATGTGTGTAGAGATACCTTTGCTTTGCTCCAGCACTGTACTGCGAAAGTCACCCATTTCTCACGCTTTTTTGCGTTGTGTCTTTTCGTTGCTTCACCGCATTATAACTGGCCGATGCAATTGCTCGTGATGAACGTAACAGAGGTTTTGGTAGCACCGTTATATTCGAAAGCCCTAAAGCATTAGATGCATGCCCAACAGCTTTTCTTTTTATATGCAAATAGCAGGAAATGAGTAGGACAGGATTGTTTTTTTAAGCTGTTGATTTCACTGGTCACTTTTATTTTTGTATTACGTGGGAGTGATTTCGCGGGACATTATCAAAGTTCATAATTTTTCTAAAAAGCTGAAAAAAACTGCCTGTCCTCCGTGTTTTGTTTGTTTCCTAAAACAAATGTGGTTATACATCGGATGGACTCAGATATTCCGTTTTGCCTTTTGAAATAGGACCTGCTTTTGCTGAACGAATGCAAATAATTGTCTCATCAATTGTGTTATCTGTGAGATTTCACGCGCTCGTGTCGGTCAAATGAATGACCATCTATTTAAGTTCTGTTGCCTCCATGGAAACACCGCGGTCATCATAATTAACTCGTTCAGACCCGAATTATGTTCCATGCAATCAAAAATATGACCAATTTATTTATACTGTGTATATACTGTGTAATGTTTTAATAGGTAGTTCTGATGTCCATATTGGTTCTAAACAACAAATGGATAATCATTCATGATCTGATTCACTTAAAAAAAAAAAATGTAAATACAGAATTATAGTAGATTTAGGTTGTTTTAGAAGTTATTTTCTAATATATGTATATTAATAGACTAAAAGCTTGAATTCAGTAATTTTGAATTGATTTCTGAATACTTAAATGTTCTAAAAAATATATATTAAGATTTTTTAAATGTTGTTAAATGTTGTAAATGCGTAAAACAGTGTAAAATCTTTAAAAACAAAAAATAATTTCATTTAATTTGGAAGATTGGACAACATTTGCAGATGATTGTTACTGAAATCATGTGTCAGTCTTGCAGTTGTATATAGAGTACAGCTCTTGCTTACATTGAGACCCACTGTCCATTACAATGTACATTACTGTTCAGTATGATATGATGACTGCAATACTTCATTTGAAAAGAAGATTTTTTTTCTTTCCAATTCTCCACTCACTTTGTCTGAATGGGTTAACATGCACTCTGAAATCAAGCATGTCAGTCATCAGTGTCTTTCTCTTAGTTTGTTAGGGGTGAGTTCACACTGTTATAGCATGGTGAGTTGTTTGAAATGCGGCGCTGTTAATCTAAGAAAACCTTACATTTACACTGTCTTTAATAGAGGGCAGAATGGTGAGGTATAATCTGCCTTCCCTTTGTTAGTCTTGGATGCTCTGAATGCATCCAAATGAAATACTTTAGTGTTCTTTTTGGTGCAATCATGAGTTTCATCTGATTATTATGCCATATGCTGCCCAAATGAGTCTGCTTTGGGGAATACAACCAAACAAAAGATCACTGCCCCGCTGACAAGCTGGTCCAGGTTTTTTCTGAAAATATATATGCTAATATAAAGTCTTTTGCCTTTGTTCATTGGGTCTGTCCCTGTCTTTATCATCACTTTCTGTTGAGATTGAATCTAAATCTAACTGGTTTTATGGCAAAATCCTGTACATGTGCATGTGACTAATGCAGACAGTGATCTTTTTTTGTTGCTGCTGTTTTTAGGTGAAATCAATGCATCTTAAGGATATGGGTGTAGGCTATATTTTCTTCCTGCTCCATCTCTGCTAACTGTGTTGCATATTCTCTGGGGAGCAGAAACACATGCATAATTAACAAGTCTTCTCCAGCAGACATGTGCTCACATGGCTCTCTGCAACAGCTTTGAAGCAAGTGTATGTAGCCCAGAAATAACATTATTAGCTGAGCGAAGTCAGATCAGCCGATTTTTCTTGCTCTCTTCACCATATATTGTAAGATAAAACAGATTTCAGCTTTTTTTTTTTTTTTTTGCCTTGTCCCTGGATAAATAATTTAGATGCAGTTGATTGAAGCTGCTTTTTTACACAGTGTTCTTTGCCAAAAAAAACCTTGGCATGCTCAACCATCGGGCCTCTGAAACAGTTGGCTCTCAGAAAACCGCTTGCATTGCTGCCCGGGGTTCAGAGACAGTGGGAATGTTGATGCAGGCAGTCGTCGCTTCTTTGAGCAAATTCTGCACAACCTGTCAGTGCGTTGTCATTGCAGCCCTAAAATATTTTAGTCTAACTCTAAACTAAAATTAGAACAGCTCTTGACAATTTAAGGTACAAAACAGCTAGTTTTAATCATGTTTTGGTTTGTGCTGTGAGTAGGTTGTCCTGTTTGCATCTTTTCTTTATCTTAGGTTCTGACTAAGAATGTAAGCTTGTGAAACTGAAGGAATGTTTTTCTTCCTCAGAGCACATTTCTTGGCAGGTTGAGACATTTCATTGATATCATCGATCCTTCCACTTTGTTTGTGACAGAGGTATGGAAATCTTGTCTGTGTTATAGTAATTGTGGTGAATTAATCAGTGAGTTGCATTATTTTTACCCTACAATGATCTTTCCTTTCTTTTATATACTGTAATTATGTCACATCTATAAAGAATGAATGTTAATTCCTATCAACTAATGAAACATTTTGGATGAGTTGAATCCTGTAGTCCTATATTACTTTTGGATTTCTGTTTTATTTTTATAGAGTCGTTTAAAAGAATGTATCAAACTCCTGGATGATTTCAAGCAAGGGAATCTTCCTCCAGGAATTACAGATCACCAGGTGAAATCTTGGATGTCTCAACAGATAACTTATGTATAGTACATGTAGTGCAGTGTTTTATAACAATTTGTGTTTTGTGTTCAGCTCTGGGAGGCTCAGAAGGTGAAGCAGGTGAGTCTTGTGGTCATTGTTCACTGTCACTTTTAAATGATGGTTGGATTTACAGTCACTGACTCGTCTCCTTTCAGGCCATCATTCACCCCGACACCGGTGAAAAAATCTTCATGCCTTTCCGCATGTCAGGTAAGAGCATAGAGAGGGTTAGAAGAATTTAAATAATATAAAAGAAAATAATCTTACTAATCCCTGTATACACAAACATAACTTTGGTGTCAGTACAATAATTTTTTGACAGAAATTAATACATATTATTCAGGATCCGTACATATATATAAATATAAGGATACATTAAATTGATCAAAAATGTCAGTAAAGACTTTTACACTGTTAGAAAAAAAAATTATATTGTAAATGAATGCTGTTCTTTTGAACTGTTGATTCATCAAAGAATCTTGAAAAAAAATGTATCACAGTTTCCACAAAATATTAAGCAGCAGCACAGATGTTTTCTGCATTGGTAATAATAAGAAATAATAAGAAGGATTTCTGAAGCATGTGATACTGAAGCCTGGAGTAATGGCTGCAGAAAATTCTGCTTTGCTATCATAGAAATCAATTATATTTTAAAATGTTATATTTCATAATATTACTATTTTTACAATTCAGTTTTTGATCAAATAAATGCAGCCTTGGTCAGCATAAGAGACTTCTTTTAAAAACATTGCAATTATATAGAAAGTTATAATTAATAATTAATATAATATAATAAGATGTGTATTATAGATGTCATTCTGGATGTGTACACCCAAAAACAGTGATTATTTATGCATGTGTGCAGCAGTTTGGTCATGCCATGAAATTAATAATAGAATTGCACCATACTAACATTGTTTAAACATAAAGTAATACATATTCAGACAAATGCAAATGAGGTGAGGAGAGCCATAGAGGTTATTTATACTCTGTTCTGATTTCTGAGTTCTAATTTGTTGTTGCTCTTTCTCTTATCTGGATGCATTTCACAGGCTATGTGCCATTTGGAACGCCAATCGTAAGTCTTCTGTTTGCTTATAAAAAAAAAAATCAAAGTGCCACACAGACAGAGCAAATATGAGAGAAGGAAGCCTTGCCAATCATTATGCATCCAGTGTTGACACATCCAAATCCTCTAAGCATAAGAGGTGTTGAAATCTGTATTGAGTTTCTAAAGTCTGTAATAAACCTTTGTTTCTATAGATAGGTGTAAATTATTAACCAGCGTATTGCTGTATACCCAGCATGCTGTATACTCTCTTGCAGGTTGTTGGTCTTCTCCTTCCAAACCAGACTTTGGCCTCTACGGTGTTCTGGCAGGTAGAGTGGCTTGTTCCCATCATTTGAGTGCCTCAGTGCCAGGAAGCCTAAAGGCTGGCTCTGCATCGTCAGTATCCCAACAGCCTCTGTTTTACAGTTAGAAATAAATATCAGACTAAAGTAGTCCTAATTGATTAGATTTCCTGTATATATATTTGACTTTTACCAGAAGCTGACTTCATAGAAAATAAAATCAATCATCATTATTTGAAAGAGGAATTCAACAATAATCAACCAATAATTCAAGTGATTGTCAGGCTAATCAGGAATTTCTCTCCTACAGTGGCTTAACCAGAGTCACAACGCTTGTGTGAACTACGCCAACCGCAATGCCACAAAGGTACAGTCAGAAACATTCTTTTAAATCAGGTCAGGTTTTTGAGGTTTTAACTATGGTCATTCAGTGAAGCGTTCCTTCTACTCGATTCCATTTGAATGATCATTGTTGTGTCCTGAGGGCCAGACATCTGTTCTTCATCTGACTGTGGTTCACGACCTCTGAGTGTTTTTTCATTGCACAATGGTCTGTGGTACATTTGCTGCACCTGGATGTTGATAATTGTTTTTTCCCCCAATTTTATGTTTAGCCAACACCAACCTCAAAGTTTATTCAGGGATATGTGGGTGCCGTCACCAGTGCTGTTTCTATTGCAGTAAGTCAGTGATGTGCAAGTTTTGTTTGAGATTAAAAAAAAAATGTAATGTAAATGCTTGTCATTGTGTCATGACCTCTAAATAAGTGGTGTATAAATGTTTGCCCCCTTAAAATGTCTAATGCTTGATATGAAAATAATTTTTAAGAACATTTATTTATGATTATAAAATGTTTTAGTCCAGCCCGGGGTCGTCACATGTGGTTGCCACAAGCCTCCTTCGTCGAATCCGCCAGCTGCGCCGTTCTCAAGCCCACCGGCCGCCGCTCACTCTAGGCCGCCTTGTGTGACACTGTGTTTCGTTGTGAAAGCGATACTTTGTTTGGCCTTCCAAAAGAGGACACGACTAGAAATCAGTGGTTAAGTTGTATTTACAACACTGCACCTCGCTTTTCAGACCGATGAGCTTTGTAAAAATCGATGCGTTTCAAAAAGGCGGGGCATAGAGGAGCAACAATAATGTACAGTATGTAGAAAATAATGTGTTTTTTTAACCTTAAACCGCATAAACACATTTCGTTACACCAAATATATATATATAAAATAATGTTCTTTTTAGCAACATCATATGACCCCTTTAACTTGTAAATCTTATTTAAATACCCCTGTAATATTCTGTTTTACTGTAGGTGGGACTGAATGTACTTATTGAGAAATCCAGCAAATTTAACCCTGCCACCAGACTGTTCATACAGAGGTTTATCCCCTTCCCTGCTGTAGGTATGTCTGTACACAGATACAGTATATTGCTTGACTCAGTCCCTCACTCTGTATTGTGTGAAGCTCCCCCTGCTGTCAGTATGAAAGCATAACACACACTACTATTCAAAAGTTTGTAGTCAGTAAGATTTTGTTTGAATGTTTTTGAAAGAATTCTCTTGTGCCCACAACTGATTTATTTGATCCATGATACAGTAAATTAGTAATATTGTGAAATATCATTACAATTTAAATTTAACTGTTTTCTTTTTTATTAATTTTAAAGTGTAATTTATTCCTGTGATTGAAAAGCTGAATTTTCAGCAGCCATTTCTTCACTGTCACATGATCCTTCAGAAATCATTCAGATATGCTGATTTGATGCACAAACAACATTTCTTATTATTGTCAATTTTGAAAACCGTTTCATTGCTTAATATTTTAGTAGAAACTATGATGCATTTTTTTTTTAAATTAAACATTTTAAAATAAGAACATTATTATTAGAACAGCTTATGATCAGTTTAATGCATCCTTGCTGATTAAAAGTAATAATTTATTTAAATCATACTGACCCCAAACTATGTTTTAATCAAGTACATTGCAGATTCAACTGTGAATTCTTAAAATAATAGACACACATCAGAAGGATATTACATCAGGTTATTTTCACCTATCTATGCGGTGCAAACTATATTAAGACGAAATGACCTTTCACAGAAACTAGATGTCATGTTTTGTTTAGCATGGATGCTCATCATTAAGATGTGTGTATGTTTTACTTCTCAGCCAGTGCAAACATCTGTAACGTGGCTCTAATGAGACACAGTGAGCTGTCTGAGGGAATAGATGTGCTAGACAGCAACGGGAATGTAGTGGGATCCTCACGGATAGCTGCCAAACATGTGCGTATGTTAGTATTACAGTTGGGACTCCCCACTTCAGTTTGTTGATAGTTTTTTTTTTAATGGTTTTATTTTCAAATCAATGCAAGTAAAGCTAGTCATAATTATAAATAGTCAAAATTGTATTCTTACTAGCCATGTTGTTACATGAATTTACAAAAGTAGTTCTTTCCCTTTGTTCATAAATTGACTTTCTATTTGTATGCTTTTTTTATTTTTTTTTATCAGGCACTGATAGAAACCGCACTAACGCGAGTAGCGCTACCACTGCCAATCTTTGTCCTTCCACCAATAATAATGGCCTTCTTGGAAAAGTATGGAGTTATTTTTGCTTCAGTTGCATTTAAATTCATTCCTGGATGGGAAAACATTTTTATTAATTATAATTAATAATAATTCATTATGTTATAAACATTATAAATATATTATTAATTATAATTATGAATGAATTACAATTTTACTTGTAATTAATTCTTTAAATGATAATTCAATTATAGTTTAATAGCTACAAAAGCACAGTCATGAGAGTCTGTTCTTACTGTCCTCGACCAGGCTTCCTCTGATGCAGGCCCATCGCAGAATGATGCTGCCTGTGCACAGTTTAGTATGTCTGGCCGTCTTTGGTCTGTCCTTGCCGCTGGCTATCAGTCTCTTCCCACAGATGTCAGAGGTACTGCAGCAATACCTGCATCATTTCCCCTCTTCCTCTACTGCAAACAATTGCTGCAGCAGTTTTAATTGTCTGTCGACCTCTTGCCATTAATCTTTTCGTGTGTGTGTGCTTTGAATAATAACTATTTTAGCAGGGAATTGCTTGCTAATCGTTCTTTGCTCCTCACAGATCGAGGCATCTCACCTTGAGCCGGAAATTGCCATGGCAACGGATTGCAAGGTGCTGACTTACAACAAGGGACTGTGATGAAAGAGAAAGAAGTTTCTCAGCTGTCTAAGATTGCCAAGGACGTGTAGCATAACAGGTGCAAACAGTATTGAGGAGAAAAATGCATTCCAAGCAATAGTAACCAGCTAACCTTTTCCTTAACTACTGAGCCATTTATCAGGTTTACAGAACTGTTTATAAAGTAATAATTACTGTATTTACCATTTTACTGACAATTATGACAGGGAGGAAACAATGCCTTATATTAAATGATTTTATATATTAATAAATATTATATTCATGTTGATCAAACTAATTATGGGAGTAGTTAGGTGCTGCTTTAAATTTTAAATTATTCTATTATATGGTCAGTGAATGCACTTTAATGAAAATGTAATTGCAATTAACGGTTTAGTTGCATGTCACACTTAATATTTTCCAAATTCCAGACAAAATGTAATTACTTGTTGTATTATGTGCACTTGTACAGAGTTTTCGTCCTTAAGTATTAACTTTTTTAAAATATATCTATTGCAATATTGACACAAATATATGTTTGACTAAATTGTACTATTTTTGAGACTATGTGTTCTGTTTAAACAATGAGTATTTTTTTATGGTCTGGTATTAACATTTAATTAATTTGTTTAATAACAGTTTTGATAAATATATTTTCTTTTGTTTGCTCTGTTCGCTTTTACCATGATTTTGCCATTTAAGTTTGAATATTTTAGTTTAGTAATTATTTTGTTTAAAAAAATACAACAAAGTTCATCAACTTAATATCAAGACACCATGTTCTATTACCTTTACTCAAGTGAGAAGCGCTTATAAATAGGACATAATGGATACAAACAGCAGTATAAAACACAAGCATCGTCACATTTCCAAGCCATAAATGAACATTTCTCTCTCATTTCCCTCCTGCTTCTTATTCAGCTGTTTGTGTTTCACAACAATCCTCCAGGTCAAAGGTTCAGGATTCAAAAAGGATGAGCAACATTCTTGACATTCCATCTCATGTTTTTCCAGCTTCTCCTCGTCTCTGAATTTTCATCACATAAATTAAGCAATGCAACATCCAACAAAAGTAGATTTTAAACCAGGAGCTTGCATCAACACAAACAGCTTCATATAAGAAAACTTCACCGGATTAGAAAGAGAATGTCTGGTTTGAGTGACAGTACCATTCAGTATGCAAAAAGTCACGCTGTATGCGTATACATGCACAGTACAAAACATCATGGGTCAGACTTCAGCACATGCAACGGGCTAGTCTTTCCTTCCCATTCACATAAAATTTATATTATATGGCTGAACATATAAAGTTAGATGATATCTTGCATATGCAAGAGCAATGCATTAATAGTGCAATATATATATATATATATATATATATTAGAATCCTTATGGCAAAGTTATAAATGGGTGCACACAAGACATTTTACCTCAATGTAAGCACAAAGCTACATGACAAAAACGTCTCAACAAATGCATAAAAAGTAACGAATAGATAAAACCCAGGCTAATTCTGATTACTGAGGTTATTCTTTGTGTAACATGCATGAGACGTGTGGGGTTTTCTGTTTAGATTAGAAGTAAAATTCCCTTTTACGCTAATCTTGGACCAGTCTTCTTGTTGCTTCTTTCCAATCAATAAAACTGGCCTTAGATCAACCTCAAAGTGCAACTTCTATGAACACTAAATAAACGGCTAGATAAAAACACTGGGAGTGTGTGAAGGGTGCGAGTGTGGATGCGGATGATGAATGGGACACTCCACTTGAGTTTGGCCCAGGAGGAGTTCCTTCTCCCTGGATAAACACGGTCCGCTAATCTGCTGACTGTGGGAATGATAGAGCCTCAGGAAGGACAGAATAGAGTGAGCCAACCACAGAGCCGTTACACACCACAGAGAGATCTGCAAAGAGAGACACACTTAGGATAACACGTTACCATGTAAAATATGCATGTTTTGTTGAACTGCGCCACAGATCTCAGAACGAAAAACAAGTTGCTCTTTTACCTGCGCACAATTGAGCTCAGAGTAGAAAGAGGATGTCTCAACGTCCAGATAAAGAGGAACGGACTGTGACTCAGCACAACTGCAGAGACAGAGAATCATTAAATACATCACTATTTAACAACATTATGTAGGTATTTCATTCATTCCTGAAACATGTGCATTCAACAGTATGCATTTTTAGACCATAGTTTTAGACCATAATCTATGTTAATCAATTCTCTAAAGCTGCTTTGAAACATTGTGAAAAGTGCTACACAAACAATCTTCATATCAGCTTATAGATTTAAAGCTTTGTGTACCTGTAGGATCTGGTGTTGTGGTCTGTAACGGTGTTGCACCAGGACACCAGGCCCAGGGTGAGAGTAACACTGGCCCCTCCAGAGAGGAAGAGCACACACAGACTCAACAGTAGCGTGAGGAAGGCAGAGAACAGCGTGCTGCAGGAAAATGAGGGAAAATGAAAATCAATGGATCACACAATTTACTTTGATACATATAAGGTTGGTCCTTATATAAAACATTCATTTAAATATTACTTAATATACACAAACATTAATAAAAAAAAGCATATTAATCTCTCACTCTATATATATAATTCATTAATATTTAAGTATTAAAAAGACTTAAATTATTGAATAATAGCCTATATTTAAAAATATATACAGCATAATGCATAATTATATGTTGTACTTATTTTAATATATTGTTTTACATAACATATAATTTAATCATTAAAACATTATTAAATAATTGAATAATATATTTAAAATGTTTAAGTATAATTATTATAATTACATTAAACATTTATATTGAACTAATATAAAATATTTAGGTTAATTTCTTTGATATACACAAATATTGAATAGCATTAAGTTGAATATATATATATATATATATAAAATTATTTAATAATATTTTAATTTTAGTTTATATAATGCATGGGTTTGATTTAATTTTATTTCATAAAATATGTCTATACTAGTTTCTGCTGTTATATAGGTAAGTAATTGTACCATTAACGAATGTAGCATTCAAATGTTTTA